CGGGGAACACATCAAAGGAAAAACAAAATCAAATTTTCATATTTATCTACCTTTTAGACTAGGAGTGGGTAATATCGGTTTTGCCGCGTATCGAATCGTATCTATACATCGAAAATCAATATCGGATATTGAATCTATATATTTTCTGAATCTATATATTGATGGATGCTAGTAGATTTTCTCGATTCATGATATTTGAGATTTGAAACGATACGCTGATATAATATCTTAGTAGATATAGATTTAAGTCAACGTTATACGGTTGGTTTTCTGATATCAATTTATAATATGATCTTAAAGTAATAAAAAGAACATGAAAATANATTTTGATACACAACTGCATTCGTTTTTACACCTTTCTCACAAAAATGTACCTCTGTTAAGCCCCAATAAGAAACTCCCAACCATACCATGAGCGAGGATGGAAAATGACCTCGTTGGACACGCGGAATACGGTTGCTCGCTTCTTCACTACTGTGTGCGTACATCTTATCATTTTGTTTGTTGTAGCTCTCTTCTACGATAAAAATTTTTTCATCCGAAAAAAGAATTTCCCGATATTTTTTTCCCGCGTACTGCTTCAACAAAGCGCGGCATCTCTTCAGTCTCAGGTCCATTAGACGAGCATTCAAACGATGTCCTGTTTTTCTTCGATATGCCCGAAGCCCTAAGTCTTCATTTAACACCCTTTTCACCGTGGTTCTACTTAACCCCATCTGAAGGGCCAACTGTTTCTGCTTACGTTTGGGATTTCTTTGAATTCGCGCCATCACAGCTTTTATCACTGCTGGGGTCCTAACAGACCGAGGGCGACCACTTCTTGACCTGTCATCTACACTAGAGTCTTCATTGTATCGTTTGATGGTACGATGAACGAATCTTTTGGTTATATTCAAATTTTTCAGTATGTTAAAAATTTGAACGTAACCGCAACGATGCAACGCAATAACTGCAACACGGTCTTCTTTAAGCGTCCACTCCATATTTAAAAATGAGTAATTTTCCAAAAGTATACATTTTTATTTTCATGAACAATTCGAAATTCGAATTCAATAAACTTTTTTGTGGCCAGCATTCTAAAAGAAAAGTTTTTACTGTGTGACAATACTTATGACCTGACTAGTTATATACGATACATGCACCAAAATAACATTTTTTACAATTTTTGTCTGTCTGTCTGTCTGTTCCGGCTAATCTCTGGAACGGCTGGACCAATTTTGACGGGACTTTCACTGACAGGTAGTTGATGACATAACGAGTAACTTAGGCTACTTTTTTTAGACTAGCTTCGCCCCGCGGCGTCACCCGCAGTCATTGTCGTACCACGCGCAACATGGCGGGACTCGCCTATCAATAATATAATTTAATGTTTCCGAAGCGAAGCGAGGGCGGGTCGCTAGTTGACAATAAAACTATAAAGTTTGACCTTGCCTGTATCCCTTCGACTCTTATTTTGATGTCTTACAGCGCGTTACGTAACGTGTTTACAGAAAGTTTCACGAACGCAGCTTTTCAAAAGATTATTGTTGTTTGCGGGCCGCTAGCGTCGCGCGCAATAACACTGCCCTATTTTTTATCCTCCTAATGTTTTGATTTCCATTTTTCTTATGTATTTTCCGTACTATTTTCGATATTAGTTTTGTTTGCTAAAACTCACTGGATGGCTGCTGGGATTTACCAGCAAAAATTGTCTTGGGAGAGAGCGGGCTTTGTAGATGCGGTCCATGTCGGATTGACAATGATATTAATTACTAGTTTTAGCCTGCGACTTCGTCCGCGTGGAATAATTACTTCAAATCGGACCAGTAGCTCCTGAGATAAGCGCGTTCAAACAAATAAACTCTCCAGCTTTATAATATTAGTATAGATTGTATGGTGGTTACGATAAAGTCGAGTTAGCCGAAAAGTCCGATATATCAATTAGGTAATAACAGTCAGGGCCTGGTAATTCTTGACGCGTATCGTGAAGGCTTATCTCACTCTGAAGCCCTAATCTCTGGGTGAATTGAATGGTAAACAACGCCACAACCAGCCATGCCAAAGTGGTACCTGGATCCGATTTGAACACCGGCACTGTCACATCGCTCGATACGAAAGCACCGGACGTCTCTTACCCTCTGGGCCACGACGACCACACAACATCGCAGCAATCATTATTATCAATGAACTATGCGAATTTCTGTTAACGCATAACAATAATTGAACCGTTTGACGCACACAAACACACACACACACAAAAAGGTCGCATGTTACAATTTACTGTTTTAGAAATGAACACTTGAACTATGAAGAAGAAAATCCAATTTCATCTAAGATAAATGCTTGATACAACTTTTTTACAATTTCTGTGTTGCTTTCTTTCAATTACCGCATCGGTTTTGTTAAATAAGCACTTCTAAGTGTTATTAATCATGGGCGAACCCGGAAATCGCCGCTTCAAAACGGATATATACATATTATGTACATTTTGCAATTTCCCTCAAACACAGCCCACTGAGTTTCTCGCCGGATCCTCTCAGTGGGTCGCTTTTCCGATCCGGTGGTAGATTCTGCGAAGCACTACTCTTACTGGGGTTCGTGTTAGCAACGTCATCAGGTTTGAGCCCCGTAAACTCACCTACTAGTTAAGGTTACGCTGATATAGCCTCTCAAGGCTCTCAGGTTAGGTAGGAAAAAAATTGCAATTTTTTTTGTAAGTACAGTGTGTTTGCGTGTGTCATTTTTTTTGTTTTAAAATTGTTTAGAATTATTTTAAAATGTAAATTAAGTGACTCGGTGGCACAGTAGGTTGCGCCACTAACTGTTGAACCGAGGGTCGTGGGTTCGAATTCCATATCAAGCAAACTTTCATGTGATGAAGTTTAAGTGTTCCATATATTTAAGAGTATCAACATCAATTAACTTCATGTACAAAGATCGATAATTCTAGACGCATTAGACGCTGTGATAAGTTTAATTAAATTTTTTTGTCGTCGAAGGCAAACGGGGTTTGTCTCATAGTAAGTGATCGCCATGGCTTATGGACGCCTTCACGACGCTAAGTTTTTATATACAGAAGCTGGTCTGCGCTGGAGGATGTACAGGATATTTTCAAAACAGATGAGCTCTCCTGATCAGGCCCGGTGGCGGTCAGCCTCTTAAATGAGACCACTTACTAGCGGGAGTGCCGTTAGCTCGCAGCCCGTAATCATGGGCTGTCAGAGATCGGTTTAGGCTGAGAGGTAACCCATTGAACTCTTTTTAAGTCCAATGTATCTTTTTATCTGTTTGCCTTTTGCAAAAATCGTAAGATGGAGTCATGATATTCGAAACTTATATTACAATGTCATAACATTTTCGTAACAAATTTAACAATCTTTCTATTAATAAGACACAATGCTGTATTTTTATGAAAATTAACAAAATTATCCTGTTTTGTATGAAACTTTATGTGCAAAAAAAACAGTTGTAAGCATCATCGAAAATATGACCAATATCCGTGGCAAAGTTATTTTTGCATTAACCGATAACTTATCTCAACTCACTAATCGATACGAAAACATCCAATAAAAGTTGCACTTGACAAAAAATAAATCACATCACTATCGAACACACCAATCAGCGACGAGAATTCGAAATTCGAACACTTTAACCGAGAGATAAAAAAATCGTATTATTATTTTTATATTTTTTTTTAATTTCGTTTCTTTTCGTAAATTGTTTTCGGGAACCGACGCGGCGTCGCTTCGGGACGTGAGCGCGGCGCGAAAGCTCGGCCGTCACTGCGGAACCGAGCTTTCAGCCTTTCAGTTACAGGCCGGTGTGACCAGAGCGACGGAGAGCTTCCACGGACGTCGTGAAAACTTTACGTGGAATGATTCACCCGAACAAGTTTCCGAATTATTTCTGTCTCGAGTGAAAAATTAGCATCCTCCAGCGACACCCGTCGGCGCCTACACAAGCTACCGTCATTATTTTTCAGTGAAACAATTCGTCGAGCTACGAAAAAAATTCCAAACTCCATTAATCATTTCGTTATTTTGTTTTACCTAATAATAAGTTTCCGTTGGCCTACAAACAATTTAATGTTACATTACTCTAAATATAATTACAATGTTTATGATCGAGTCCTAAGCGATAATGGCCATGAGTCGATGCGGTCCGGCCGCGCACTACCGCTGATATATGATTCACCAAATGTTGATTTATATTAGATACTAGCGGACCCGGCAGTTCGTAGTGCCTCAATCGATAAATAAAAGACCTAAACTTTTATATTAAATAAACTTAAAACAAACAAAAGGAATCCGTCCGACGCGGGACACATCAAAGGAAAACCAAAACTGTTGTTTTTATTTAATTCCGAGCATTTTCATATTTATCTTCCTTTTAAACCTTCTCTGGACTAACACAAATAATTCAAGACCAAAATTAGCCAAATCAGTCCAGCCGTTCTCGAGTTTTAGCGAGACTAACGAACAACAATTTATTTATATATATAGATTTAAGATTTATTAGAAAAGACGAGACGAGCTCTCACTCACGGAGGGGGGGGGGGGGGTCACCGAGGGATACCATAAAAGGGAAGATCTTCCATCGAGCGGGTGATATTACTCGGTAGAGCGACGGTCCAAATGTTCTGTCCTTTTGGAGAGTTATGGCAGCGTAACCTGAGCGAGTAGGTGAGCTCACGGGGATCTAAGGTGAGGAGGTTGCTAACACTAGCCCCTAGCAAAAGCAGTGAATGTTGTTGTTCCGAACGCCTCTATATGTAAACTTATCTTAAAAATGTCACTAGCGCGATTCACGCATTTGTCAGATACCTTGTATTCCGTTTTGGCTAGCCGTTGCCCGGATACTTAACTTTACGAGTTCGTCCGGGCCTTGATGAAACAATTCCTCGAAGCAACCACCGTTTCCGAAGGTCAGAGACATAAATCTTATTGCATGCATTTTCACACTAGATGGCGCTCACGTACAAAATGCCTATATCTTACACTTCTAGACTGTGCTAGACTTACCTTGAGCTGGTGCAATGATTGCGTCCCAGGGTGCCTCGTCTTCAGTCTTCCGGAAACTGCGTTCCACTGCGTGCGACAAAGGGAAAACTTTAGTCTTAATCGAAAGGACGCCATCTAGCGACGACAGTACAGAACTAAATAGTAACTGGTAACAATAACAGATGGCGCTTAAGTAAATTACCATAATCTTATTAACATAAATTTTATTCACCCAGTTTAGCCCAGTAAAACTAAAGCACAAAATGAATTGCTTTATAAAGAGAAACAATATTTAAAGCTATTGTTTCACCAGTTCTTGTGTTTCATATACATAAATGTTTTAATATTTTTAATGTTTCTTCTTCTAATGTTTCAATATTCAAAATACATTTATGTCACCTGTACAACTTATTATAACCTCTTTTAAGATTTATGTTATAAACCCTATAGAAAGTACATTAATATGATTAAATGTATATGACGGCGCCAACGATGGCTGAGCGGTAGTACTGTCATCATTCGTATTCGGAAAGTCAATAAAAGCTTTTGAATAATAATTATTGAAACTCTCAACAAATAATTTTCACAGTGACAGGGTAAGCCGACAGTTGCGTTTCAAATAGCCGACTGACGGACTGACTGACAGACTGACTGCCTGAGACTGACTGTGACGACTCTGTCCACGTACTGCCATTCTATATTCTGGCGTTACGGCGTCTACCCTACATTTTATAACCGGAGTCGTTATCTACGACATATATAAAAAAAACAATTATACTCACTGTTGAGGAAATGCGCCGTGCCCGAAGCCTTTCTTGATTTCTTGTCGTTCACGTCTTGAGCTGTTAGAATAACAATTAATGTTTAAAGCGAAGTGTTAAGATCCATATAAGAACCCGCTAGCTGTGTGGCCGCGCCAATAAAGAAACGAATCGAAAATGGCGTCTATTTACCTGCACTGACAGATGGTAGGGTCAACAAATAAAAAGAAAGATAGAAAGAAAAAGTTGTTTATTGTAGAAAAATTTAAAAAAAACAAATGAGAATTTCTTTTCTTTCATTTCTCGAGATTCTATTCCTCTTCAAAGTATTTAATAACGTTATACACGATTTCGCGTGCACCACTGTGAAGGATTTTTCCTTGTTTGTGAGAGGCCAAACATATTATTTACCAGTCAGAACTGATATTTCTTCTGCACGCAGTACGCGCCGTGTGCGACTAAAGACAGCAATAGTTTAGAGTGAGAGCGCATGATCGCAGCCGCCATTTTAGATTCGTTTCTTTATTGGCGCGGCTCATACGTAGAATTTAACACAATTAGAATTTATTCGGACCCTCGGATGGACCCTTTTTAATTTTATCGTGACTGATTCGCAGTTAGAACAACCATTATCGCTATACAATAAAGACTTTGGTCTCAGATCTTAAAATGGAATTATCAGACGGGCTGCACTCGGCTCCTCGTGTTTTGCAGTCAAAAATATCAAATAAGTAGTATAAGTTATTATACTGTTCTTTGAAGTTTCTGTTTCTGTTTTTGGTGATAGGACCTCTTGTGAGCCTGCACGGTTATTTTCGCCGTGAAGCAGTATTGCGTTTCGCTTTGAAGGGCGGGGCAACCGTTGTGACTATACTGAGATCTTAGAACTCATATCTCAATGTGAGTGGCGACATTTACGTTGTAGATGTCTATATACTCCACTAACCACTTCTTCTAAGAACCATCTTCTAATGATATTCATTAGAGTCACCAGCGATTTCCACTGCAGGAGGGGCCCGGGGGCTCATCTGGACCGATACCCACCGTTGGGTTGATTGTTGGGATGCATCCGCTCCATGAACCGCGATATCCTGTTGGTGTGGTGCTCCCCGTCCAGGCAGCAGCCCTCCTCCACGGACTTGGCGCAGGCGCGGTGGACCCGCAGCTTGCAATCTAAACAAAAGATCTATAGAGTTCCAGTGATGCAGTGCGGGTAGTGCGGGGGCGAGTGCGGGGGGAGGGGGGGCTCGTTACCGGCACACACGTAGGCTTGCGGCGCCAGGCCCCAGATGACGTGGTCGCAGCGGTGGCAGTGCCCCACCGACGTCAGCGCCTGCAGCTGCAGGTGGTGGCCCCTCACCACGAACTGCAACAGGAGGGGCGGTAAGCGGGGGGCTCTATAGAATCGCTTTGATCTTTAGCAAATTTGTACAGTCCAACGATATAGTTTTTGAGTTATTAAATTCACAATTTCTAAAAATTAAAAAACGGTTATCTATCCACCCGCTAGCTTTCAAGTGAATTGAAATATCCGCGGCGGGCTGCGCTGGCGACTCACCGGCTGGGGATGCTGCTTCATGATCTGCTTGACCCTCTGCTTGTACAGCTTGTCCCTCTGCAGGAAGGAGGCGCGGGCGCCCCCCACGGCGGCGGCCACGGACGCGGGCCTGGGGACCGACAGGGATCTAACTCGCTAAGTGCTCGCCAGAAAGTCACCATCTCAGACTCAGAACGAAGACGAAAAAAATATGTGTGTGTGTGCAAGTAACACACGGTAGAAATGAAACTTATAAAATATTAAAATAATCGCAAAAGTCAACCATATTGCAGTGCAAATCAAATGTGTAACATCTCGTCACCGCGATTCAGGAATTGTTGAATTTATTGGCAGCGACATTTGTTGATAACAATCTAAATAGAAATTAAAGTATCTCAGGGTGCTCCGAGAAACACGACGCGTGCACGAACGTCAAAAACACAGTGAACTAGTCGGGGACGCGAGACCGCGTAGAGCGCTTCGTGACTTGTCGGCGCCGCTCGGAGCCGTTTCGGCCAGCCAATCGCGGCACACTTATTTTTTCGTTTCGTTTCATTTCGTTTCATCGAGTTTGAAATCACAACCATTCTAAAGAAGTTTTACTTCAAATAGTACAATCATTAGAAGAACCTCAAAATGCAATATAATATTTCTTTTAATATTGATGAATAGTTCTTGAACGTTCGTTACAAACGTACTTTACTTTTTTTACTTTCTTTTTCATGATAGATGCCTGCCACCATCTCCTCCTCACTTCCCTCGCTTCCATTACACTAACACTTTACACCAAATGAACCATTATTGCTTATTAGCACTTCTTAAGTTATTTTTATTTTAGTTGGGAAAACGCAGAGTCCGCCGCGGCGGGCGCTACTGCCAACACTGAGATAACGCGACTAGTTATGACCTTTATCAGTTGAGATAAAAATACGTTTACAAACAACTAATTACGTACAATTCATTTTCATTTACTATCTATATCGAGATTCTTCACTGGCGATAATGATTACAATTAATTAATCACTAGGAAGTGTTCTGTACATCCGTGACGCAGGGACGACAACATTTATAGTATTTAATAGTATGATTTAAGCATTCGTCAATTTGCTATTTGCAATAACTATACTTGAGACCTTAGAACTTATCTCAAGGTGGGTGGCACATTTACGTTGTAGATATCTATGGGCTCCAGTAATCACTTAAGACCAGGTGGGCTGTGAGCTCGTCCACACACCTTAGCAAAAAATAATAATGCAGCAGTGCCTGGACTGCTGCGCGGTGTCACTAAGCTATGACAACGATTATGGGCACAATGTTTTGGTGCAGCGCCGCGTAGTGTCGAGCGGAAAGTAATAGAGCATGAATTTTCTTTCGGCAAACTGGCGTTACACCCTGTATGTGCCGTACAGGGTGTTCGACAAAGCGATTAATGATTTTGCAATACGAGCTCGCGTGAGCTCTTCGCATGACCTTAACGAGTCACACTGTACTAACATATTCTACAACAAGAGTGAATTTATTCTAATTTTTTAAATTAATTTTGAAGTTTTTTTCAGTCAGTGAATGAGCGATGTATATCTGTTAATTTAAATAACATAAGTAATTTTGGAAACTGTGTACTGTATGTATCATTTTTTATTTATTGCTTAGATGAGTGGACAAGCTCACAGCCCATCTCGTGTTAAGTGGTTACTGGAGCCCATAGACATCTACAACGTAAATGCGCCACCCACCTTGAGATATAAGTTCTAAGGTCTCAGTATAGTTACAACGGCTGCCCAACCCCCTCCCCTCCCCTCTTCAAACCGAAACGCATTACTGCTTCATGGCAGAAATAGGCGGGGTGGTGGTACCTACCCGCGCGAACTCACAAGAGGTCCTACAACCAGTAAATTTCACTGAATGAGTATAACAAAGTGCTTCTTTAAATGAATATGAGCTAAGTCCGCAGCTCCACCGAGCCGAGCACCGACAGCGTCAGCACCCACCGACAGTGCAGCGCGAGCGCGGCGGCGATGAGCGCGGCCAGCAGCGTGTTGTGCGCGTCCTGCGCGGCGGCGGGCGAGGGGGCGGGGGCGGCGGGCGCGGGGGACGCGGCGCTCACCGCGCGCAGCTGTGACGTCATCACCTGCTCCACCACCACCAGCTCCTGCGGGCAGAGTGCGATGCTTAACATCCAATAGATTAAATCAACAGAGACAAAATATTAAATCGGCTCAGAAATGATTATTCATGATGTGTTATCACCAGTGGTCGGAATAAGTAGATTGATTTTATACTTGCGTCAAGATATTATAATGTGGACATGTCATTTTATCCATAATGATTATTTTTTTAAATCGAAAAAATATATTTTTAATACAATTTCCATATTTATGAGATAAAAAAGTAACAACAAGCCCTGTCTAAGTTTTGTCTCATACCGACAAGCGTTATTTCTAATTCAACAAAAAGGGACAAATTACGGTGTAACTATTCCAAGGTGCTTTTGTATAAAATAAAATACTGATTTTTTTCACCATTAGCTAACACCGGTAGCGTAGATTAATATTATTAATACTTTTTTCACCTTAAGCACAGATTCATGTTAATTTCAAAATTCCGGAACAAATATCACAATAAATATGAAGTTCCGGTATTTTGGAGGCATATCTATATTATCTTCTACGTTTGACGTCAACGACCTTAAATCAATCTACCTACTCCGACCTCTGGTTATTATAGTAGTCGGTCCGTGTCGGAGGAGTAAGCACAGGGAAATAAATATATCATTGCATCCATGTGGTGGCTCAGGGCCATGTGTATGGACACTCCTACGAGGTTCCCGATGCTATGGGGCGCGGTAAATGGTGATGGTAAAAGCCTACTTACTAAACGACTCCCCTGCACTTGCTCAACGCCCCAACCCTGTTCCGGGTAGGGATGGGGTGGGGGAATTTACGCAGTCAGTACTACAACCAGTTCCGTAGAACTGTTGTCGTACTGCACGTTAGTTCGCCCCACAAGCTCGGCGACAACGGATCGTGTGGAGAGGGAAGAATTCTGTCTGTTATTTTGCCACCTCCTACTGCGAGACAGTCACTCGCCGAAATCGATCGTCATACCCACGATGGTCGGGCAGTGAGGGACACCCCACTGCCCGAACTGGACGGTGAGCTTCGCCTCGACGTGTTCACCAAACTGCGAGGTCTGACCTACAGCACGGGCTGCCGAGATTCGACCCTCCGTGTTCTAAACGTTCCTCTGTGAGGCGGCTCTCCATAGTAGCGAGTGCCTCTCCAGTGTAGCGACGGTATCCTCACCTGCGCCTTGTCCAGGTCGCAGCGCTCGAGCAGCGCGTCGTGCGGGCCGTACAGCGTGCCGAGCCCCACCTGCCGCTTCACCTGGAACTCCGACAGCTGCGAGCTCAGCTCCTCCTTCGCCTTCTGCCGCGCCTTGCGGAACACGTTGCGGACCAGCTCCTCCTTGTCGTGCTCTGCGGGACAGACGAGCCTCGGGGTCACACACCACACTCAAACCCTGCGTGAGGTGTGTGACAGTATTGGACCCACCGTTAACTAGGATATGTTCGATTTCATTCGCCATGTTTTCGTCGACGCCATTCAGCTGCAGAACCTGTAACAGCGCTTAGATTAGTGTCCGGCTGGTTGCGTGGCGTGGTGCGGGGGGTTGGGGGGGGGGTCTCACCGCGTTGGGCATGAGGAACGTGGAGTGTATCTCGTAGGCCCAGCGGCGCAGCGTGGCCGCCGTCACGCCACTCGCCGACCGGTACGCGTCCGTGAGGATCAGCAGCAGACTGGCGCACGCGCATCTGACGAGACACAATACACTATCGAAGTTGCGAAAGGTGGTACTAGTGGTAGGACCTCTTGTGAGTCCGCGCGGGTAGGTACCACCACCCAACCTATTTCTGCCGTGAAGCAGTAATGCGTTTCGGTTTGAAGGATAGGGTAGCCGTTGTGTCTCTTCTGAGACCTTAGAACTTATATGTCAAGGTGGGTGGCGTATTTACGCTGTAGATGTCTATGGGCTCCAGTAACCACTTAACACCAGGTGGGCTGTGAGCTCGTCCACCCATCTAAGCAATAAAAATAAATAAATAAAAGAGTAAACTCGAGGATTATGAGGTGGACCTACCTCCTTTCTCCCAGTAGCCAGTTTAGCAGCACCGCGGTCCTGGCCTTGGACTCGCGCACCGACCGCAGGTTCGAGAACAGCCCGGAGTATGTGGACGTGTCCTGCCAAAGTACAAAAAGTTTAAGGATGCAGTCATCGAGTAAATGTATCACAATCTCAATAAGTAAGTCTACTCACCGAGGCGGGGGAGTCATCCTCCTCCATTGAGATGATGGCCCTCTGGGGATCGGCACACGGCTGCACAACGAATAACAATTGAGGCCGGAGTACTTCCGACAGTAGTACACTCGCGGATGAGCCAAAGATTTCCAGTACAAGTAATCAAAACAATAACTATCATTACGCATATTTCAAATTCAATACCTTTAAATTAACTTTAATTACTCATCGGGTTGAACTTAATAATGTTTAGTTAGCAGAACACCTCGTTATGGCTGAGTGAACAAATGTCAGTATAAGCCGCGCCAATAAAGAAACGAATCGAAAATGGCGTCTATGTACCTACACTGAGAGATGGTAGGGTCAACAAATAAAAAGAAAGTCGCGGCTTATAGCGCGTGACGTCACCTGCGTGTTGGTGTGGTAGGGGGGCGGCGGCGTGCCGGGCGGGGGCGGGGTGGGCGCGGGGGCCGCGGGCGCGGCGCCGGGCAGCGTGTTCGCTATATAAATAAAAACAACTGATTAGTTATGAGGTAAGAGCGTCATACATTGCGGCCGTATAGAGCTACTAACGTTAGTTTGTATGTTCAAGTGGAACCGCTCATCAGAATGTAACTAAAGAATGTTTTATAAGCGGGTAATAGATACTTTTCCTTTTGTGAATACGCAAGCTAAAGCGAAATCAACTTGCGTCAGCAGCCGAGGGTCATTCGAGACCCTGAGGTCAGTGACCCCGTGGATTAGCGAATTTCGGAATTGGTATCTATGTATCGTCTCATGACGATCACGAGTTACAGTAAGCGCGCGAGTTCATGTCCATTCTGAGGAATGCGGTAGTGCTGTGACCTAATTAATTATGGTAATGTCGATAATAACTACCGATTTAGCCAACAGCTGTCAATTTGGTTTAATGTAACTAGGTCATTTTGCAAATTATAAAATAAATGTGATAAGTAATTACTTATTTATTTCTAGTAGAGAAAAATATTTTTTAAATTCCAATTCAATTACTATCAGATGAAAAGACAACCGAAGATCAGAGTCCGAATCAGTGTAGTTTTTTTTCTACCTGAACTTGTTAACTTGTTGGAAGCGGAGTAGTCATGGTTTATTCACCTTGAAGTAACACAATAGCGTAAGCGTAACTTTTCGGTATCAATAAGCGCGCGTCACAACTGTCAAAGACAACACTAGAAGTCAGACAAACGCGGGGAGGCGGGCGGAGGCAGGGCGGGCTGCCCCCCGCGCGTCGCCTCTGGCCCCGATGGACATGAACTCGCGCGCATACTGTAGATACTTACACCTGGTCAACTCGCAATCCAGCTGCTCCGGCGAGGACCTGCTCCTGGTGTGCAGCACCGGCACGCCACTCCTGTTGTCCGTCTGTATAAAATTAAACTTTGAAGCACATAATTACAGCTTAATTTTTGGTGAACTTTCTTGATTCAGAAATATACATCAAACTGGGTTTCAGTAAAAACTGAACCTTATTGGCTATAACCGAAAATTGATTTACGCGTGCTTTGCGTCAACACGGCATAATATAATGATTGCTTAATTCCTTTTTAGAAGTCACCATGGCATTCAATAGCTATAAACTGTCATTTTGATACATGAATCTGAATAAGAAATTCCACACTTGTAACCAAACAAAAGAAACATATTTTTAAATGACCAAATTGTTCAATCTATTCATTTCTCTCTGTATTTACTTCCTTTGGTTTGAACAGTGTAGTGCATAACACAGACTTACAGCATTATAGCATAAAGCATTCACATCGCAAATATTTTTCTTTTTGTTGGTTTTTTTAACACAAAATATTAGTCACACATACAGTTAAAACAAATACCTAAACATTTTGAATAGACGAACACGAAAGCCTAAACACGAAATCTAAAACTTCGTTACGTCTTTTAAAAAAAATCAATAAATAAGATTAATTGATAAATTGTGATTGTAAAAAAGCTTCTTGCAATTAAAAAAATAATAATGTAATTAGAGATGAATAATTAAGAACAACCTGTACCATATTATTAACTCCACCACCTAATTTTACATGGTACGAGTTATCCTGAATTTCACTATAAAGTACCGTTTACAAAAAAAAATTGGACAAATTAATGATGATCAATTTGATTAGATTAAAAATAAAGTGTTTTTTGTATGAATTTAGAATGTAAATGTATACATCTTCAATCGTGTGGAAAATTCAAGAGAACTCGTTTAAAAAAACCGACCGTCAATTTACCTGCAGCGGCGGAGGCGGTAAATTCACCAACGGGTAACTCATCTGCAACGCGATCGAATTGGGCTGAGGACCCTCGAGCTCCCCGTCCAGAGAGTGAGACGACCTCCGGAACTGCCTCGAGTGGTCGTCCTTGTAGCCCGGCATGGACTGGTGCATCGGAAACTGAGGCCTTTCGGGGTAATACCTCCCCGTGTTGTTCTTCTGCGCAAAGCTCGTAGAGCACGGCTTAGGTTTGGCTAGGGGATTGACCGGCGTGGTCGGTGGGCTCAACGGGCTCCTCTTTGGTCTCTCGATCGATCGCGGCGGCAGAGGGGGAGGGGTCACGTTATCCAGACAAGTGGTCGGCACCAGAGGCACTGTATTGTTGTGCGCGTGACGTCGCTTGGTGTCATCGTCCGAATTCTGTCGCACGAGTGGAGGTTGGTTCTCTTGCTGGTTCTTGTTGCTCTGGCGCGCCTGCCGAAGGTTCCTCAAGGATTGTCCGGTGAGATTGCTCAGGGAGCGCGGAAGGCCGCTCAGGAAGCCCGTGTTGTGCGAGAGGGGGCTCTTGTCGAGGCTGCTCCGGGTGCGAGTGTTAAGGCGCGGCGTGGACGGCGCGGGTGAGGTCGGCTCGGGCTAAAAGCGGAGTACTATGAAGCTGGTCGCGTCGTCACTCGAAAGCTTCGTGTGGAGATCGTGATTTATGGGGAAAGAAATCTTTGAGCGGTGTACCATTTCAATGTTACGTTCTGATCCGAACCTCCACACGCTTCGATCGGGTACCGTGAGCAGCACAGACACGACAACAACCACCGTAAGGCGGGCGAAAGTCAATCATCTTTACACTGAATCTGTTTCTATGACGTTTGGCTTATTAGTTTGTCCATAGCTTCGTGATTGACAAAACATACGCCATGAAGACTTCCTATCTCTGAACTCAACGTAATATAAACCGTTGAACACAGTTTTAACAAAACTTTAAATTAATGCTGCTTGCATGTGACACCACTTGACCAATTAGAACTATAAATGATTATAGCATCAAACCAAACATAACATGGGTCACACATCGGACGTCTCCTATTCGACACACAAAGTCGATGCGAGGTTATTTATTACGCTGACTGTACAACGGTCACTGACCTCGGTGACGTCACAAATAAAACAGCATGCACAGAAGCAGACGCTTTACGACATGACGTAACGAACGAAACGTGATCTTTGCTAGCGCGTGGGTGACTTGACTGGTTTTGGCCTTCAAACTTCAAAATCGATGTCAAATTTCGTTTAGAACAAAATGGTAGTGATTTTTTTATAAACCAACACAAAGTATTTTTTTATTTGGGTACTAGCTGACCCGGCAGACTTCGTAGTGCCTTAATCGATAAATAAAATACCTAAACTTTTGTATAAAATAAAATTTTAAACAAACAAAAGGAATCCGTCCGACGAGGGACACATCAAAGGGAAAACAAAATTGTTATTTTTATTTCATTCCGAGCATTTTCATATTTGTCATCCTTTTAAACCTTCTCTGGACTAACACAAATAATTCAAGACCAAAATTAGCCAAATCGGTCCAGCCGTTCTCGAGTTTTAGCGAGACTAACGAACAGTAATTCATTTTTATATATATAGATCGATTATTAAATTTATAATTGATTATGGGAACATAAAGCTTTAGTAATCCCGACCCTGACCCAGACGCGACACCCACAAGGACCACGCATCGCCATTAGTTGGCTTTAGCTCGGGAGGAGCCGGGGGGCTGGTGCGCGCGTTACTCAGCGTGTTAGTCAATGGTCAATGGACAGCACGAGCTCTGTACGACTGTTGTTGTAAGACAATTAACTTTCGCCGCCCACCAAAACAATCGAGGACCAAACAATGTTGAACTACACATTATATTTCGATTTTTTTTTCGTCACATTTAAATGAAATTTTGTTTTTCCGGATTTTATATTTTTCGGTGTATTATTATTATTTAAATTCCTTTTTTTTTTCATTAACAAGATTTGGCGACTATTGTACTGTGATTGGTACCTATAATTGAAGTGACATTTATCACGTACTTTGTCAATTGATTGATGATCAGAATTGGTGATCACTTTTGTTGTTGTTGGTACAACTAGGTAATTAAATAAAGTAGGCCGCCTAGCGGTAAAAATCCGATCATAATTAATTTAAATTATAAGTTTGAACGGTTCTATTGTTTTGACAATGATCACAGATTCCTCCAAGGCTACACAAATAATACTAACAATATTAATATATTCTCAATTACACAACAGACTTTAACAATAAACGAAAGAGTAGAATTATATATGCGTGTGTGTGTCAAATAACACGGTAGGATGTGTAATGTTTTATTTATTGATTTAATGTATTGTTTAAGCATAATTTGAAAAAAATATTAGCAATCTGCACTCCTTTTCTATATTCTCTATAAGGTCACTCACGGACCACCTGATGATACCGGAGCTGATGGAGATAGCACCGTGAGAGCTGCCACCAACCTTGAATCGCGAGGTCTAGCTTTCCATTGCACGGTATGATTGTATGATCCTTCGAACCTGATCGCATTACTATTTCGCGGCAGCAACACGCGAAGCTCTCTACCCGTGCGGACTCACAAGTTAAAATCGTACACTTAAAACCGGCCGCAACTATCATCTCACACGTACCTTCTACTGTTAATGAACGCACATCGAACATATCACAAGAAGTTTTTTTTTTAAGAAGAACAAGAAAATCACAAGAAAAAATCACAAGAAGTACAATAGAAACGTTTGAACACACGACTACAGCTCGCATTAATAAATTATAAAGTAATCATAAGTATCGATTATTCCAATGTCAATAGTTTAATTAGAACAAAGAATTAATGTTGCAGAAGTGAACCAAGACACGCGTGTCCTTGGTTCATACCAGTTTTGGTGAATTTTCACGATTTTTAATCGTCTGTTCATCAATAAAGTTCCAGTACTTTTTATGGGGGACAGATGACTGAAGTTACCTACGTTTATCGTTTATGATGTAAGTACATTTGTAACAACTCAAGTTGCACACTCGTGAGCCTACGCCTCGTGCTTAACCTTGACATTACGACATCGCGCAAATATCTGATATTTGTGTTTTTTGCTACTTTATATGGTGAAACAAAATTACTAATCCGCTGAGGGGAGTAAAGCTCTGGTATGCCGATGTTAAATGTATGCCGGAAGACGTAGCAAGAATAGGCCTCCCACAAAACGGACCGACGACCTATTGAGGTTCGCGGGGATCCGCTGGATGCAAGCAGCGGGGGACCGATCTTTGTGGCGAGGCTTGGAGGAAGCCTATGGTCCAGCGGTGGACGTCTGTTGGCTGATAGAATAGAATGCTGATCAGTTAGCGTGCTGTCTGAATCGATTTACTTCGATCGCTGTCCACCTTCAATAAAACTTGAGAAAACATGTGATGTGCACTCTCGCATGAAGCCGTCCGCGTTTATCGAAACTTTGCACTAACTCGACCCCCCCCCCAACCCCCCGCGGGACGCTCATGCCTATTATCGTTACTTATGTACATTAACATTAGTGACAGAATATTAAATCACGAGCAAGATCTCGGCTGGTGCTACTACAATAACATTGACAATAGCCGACTAAGTATCAGTCTCACTAATGATTGTTTGATTTACACAGATAAAATAAGCCGAAATAGTGTTTTAAATTTTTTCTTATAGTATTGCATAATTAGTATATTATTTGTAGCAGTCCCAAGTAAGGAATCAATGAACAGACAGTTTCCGCGATAGGAATAAATTAATTTGGTCCTCAATTGCTGTGTCATGAAATATTAAAATTAAAACTTATTAACAAAAAGATGAAGTGACTCCGGGTGTTACGAAACGGAAATAAATAAAACGATTCGGCAGCAAAATATAGAAACTTTGCACTCTTGTGCTCCGATATTAAAATTTACTATTGTGTTTCTATCATAATAAAGTGATATATTAAAAAAAAATATATATATTTTAAAAAGAAAGTGAGAAATATGAGAGAATTTCATAACAAGCAACTATTATATTATAGCACATATAAAAAGTCGTAGATTTTTTTATTATAAAGTAATTTTACCATTATTATAGATGAACAACTTTTTGTAGCGAATTTAGAAAGGTCATAAGACGGTGAAATTGTGGGTACTCACAAAAAACTAAGTACCCTACTTAAGGAAAAAACAATCTCTCGCACTTTTCACTTCGAAATGTGTTAAAATTATTTCTCATTGTGGTCCGGCGTACCTGTCCGGCCATGATGCTGTCGATCTCGTGCTGCAGCTTGGAGCAACGCAGCTCGGCAGCTTCTAGCTGAGCTTGTTTTCGCACGTCGGGGACTTTTGATAGTTCATCTGTAACCAACACGCGGTTGGCGTCACCCTTCGATCTCTTCGAACAATCAATAGATAAAAAATGGGGGAAACCTCCCGAGGTCATAACCTCCGCGTTCTCTCGGCTGTGTAACGGCTGTTCCACCCTGCAGGGACCACCAGCTCCTCGAGTGACCGGAGAGGGTAGGTAGATATTCGTTCACATGAAAAACCTTTCAATACTCACTACGAAGGTCTCTGATGTACTTCTGTTCTTGCTCCAGCATCAACCTCATCGTGTGGACCTTAGAGACTTCCAGCTGACGCTGCTTCTCCGACTAGAAATGTATTAGAAACAATTTTAAAAGACTATTCTTTAAAATTTGCCTTTACGGCATATATTTTCTTTTGTATAAAACAGGGGGGAGATACAAAATTTCTTTATTTCATTTATGTCTTGAACTAACCGATAAGATAAATATTCCCATGTGGTAGGTACAACCAGTCAAATGTGCCAACAAAGCCAAAACAAAGAGTTCACTTATTAATTTGGAATTGACAAATACAATGATTAATGAACAGTGTTTTCAGGTAGTATGGATGACTTGTGCTGCGATAGGTGGACTGATGCTAAAATGGAGATGATGGGATCATCCAAAACATTCCATCAGAGCACAGCGCACTGAACATACGATACAAAATCAGACAGAATCGAAGTCTCTTCACCGACCTAGATTTCCTTAGACACAACAGTCTTAAAGTACAAAAAGCAGCTGCATACTGAACCCTAAAAAGTTTAAGTAACTACGGCCACCACTTTTCAACAGTTTATGCCAAGTTTTGGCGTCTTTCGTTTGGTTGGGTGAGTCCACGCCGGAGTGATCATTACGTCCCTACGCTATGTGCCCGTATCGGCGCGTGACGTTGTGGTACATTCACTTAGGGCTCCGTCACCGCTGGTCGGGGAGGCCACACGCGAGCTCAGCCGCCGCCGGCCTGTTTACACAGATGTCACGTCTCGCGCAACTCACATATTGGTTGCGACTTGCGTGTGTACGTCGACATTGCCGCGTTTATTGGAAACGAAATGCTCGTCATTAAATTCGGAGGTTTCTTTTGTCGCAATTTCTCGACATTATCAGTTTGCATATCAGGATAATATAGATTGACATCGAATATTTAGTAACCTTCTAAAAAGACGATTCTGAAGACATGGATGGATAATAGGGATATGATACAATTTGTTAATTTTGAGAAAACCGTCAACAAACATTTGTTACTTGTACTTTATATTCGTACATAGCTCGTTCATCACGTGCAATTTCTAAAAATAGCCTTTAAGCCCGAGGTTTAAGGTCAAATATGGTTTATAGGCACATTGCACCTTCATTTAGATGAAAAACTCAAAAATCTTAAAAATGGTACTTAACCACTTCATCCACTCATGTCTCAATTATCTGAGTTAGGTATTTCCGAAGCGCACGTGTCACGGCAACGAGTTACCACCGAACGATATGTACTCATCCGTGACAAAACAGAAATTGGCGTAGATAAGCAAACGGTCTTTCATCACAGCAACAGTTCGCTTTGGTTTAGCCGAGGCTTATTAGTTTTTTTTTAAAGAATTTTATGACTAAAACATGTCATGTTTTATTTTAAGTTATATTCTAATTTTTATTAAAAATGATAATATGAAATGAAACGAAATGAGATGAGATGTTATGGAATGAAATATCTCAGTAAAATGGTGGTCATTTACTGTGATTTTTTCAGTGGACTTTTTGGAGGATCCCGAGAAGTTACGTCCAGCGGCTTTGTTTCATTTTCCTACATTTGTGCACTTTCACCAATACTAAAGAGTTAATAAACCCCCGTTATTACACATTTAAACCGGAAGAAACACTAAATAGACAAAATAAAACAAATTACACAACTTCACTCCTCGCGTTCCCGGCAAGAAATCTGCTTTAGTTAAACAGAGACTCACATTGACGGGTACCGGCGCTGTGATGGGAGTTTTGTGTCTTGAAGTGTTCTGCTGCACGGTGAGCACGGTCGTCGGGTTCGCTGCAATCAACAAACAAATCGATAAGCTATCCGCGCATTCGGCACGCGGACTCGCAACTGACACTATTTATAAATATTGGAGATAATCAGACGCAGATAGCCACCTGGCTTCATACTAAGTCACCCCGGAGTAAGGGAAGCAGAGACTAATTTAGAAAAAAGGTCAATGTATAGATATTGATCAACCAGACAATGAGCAATACTGTTTATCCCCCGAATGTGCCAGTGCAGAGATGAACCACTGTAGGCAGCGACTTGGCTCTATCTCTAGCAATCCTGACGTCCATGGGCGACGGTAATCACTCACCATCAGCTGGGCTGTATGCTCTTCTGCCTACAAGGGCAAAAATTTAATCAAAGAAAAAGTAAACATATCCTTATGCTTCTAACCTCCCCTGCTTTATTTAATCTTATCGATTCGCAAGATACCCGTTATTCTACCATAAGGCTTGATCTCCGGAAAAAATATCATTTTAATGCCTTTGATATATTATTAATGGTCAATTGTTCGGTTACTCTAAAGAAATACCTCGTATCATATGGACAACTTGCTGGTGAGTGTGATGATGTACTGGTATAGAGTCGACCCTCAGGATCCGGTCTCCAGCCCGCAGGCCGGCCCGCCACGCTGCGCCGTGCTCCTTCACTGATTGCACGAACACCGGATTGTCACCTGTGAAAACAAAATCATTCCTTGTATTTAATACTGACACCGGTGGTAGGACCTCTTGTGAGTCCGCACGGGTAGGTACCACCACCCTGCCTATTTCTGCCGTGAAGCAGTAATGTGTTTCGGCTTGAATGGTGGGGTAGCCGTTGTAACTATACTGAGACCTTAGAACTTATATCTCAAGGTGGGTGGCGCATTTACGTTTTAGATGTCTATGGGCTCCAGTAACCACTTAACACCAGATGGGCTGTGAGCTCGTCCACCCATCTAAGCTAAAAAAAAAACCCTAAGTGTCTCACAATGAAAAGTTTCGTAGTCAAGTTTCGCGTGAAGTTTTTAATGATTTGAATACTTAATAACCTTAATTTACGTATTTTTATGGACTCCAATAGAATCTTGAACTATAATTAACAGTGATAAACAATTCGTTTAATGACGCCTGTAGAACAGTTTAGACGCTGCAACTAGAACACAGCGCTTAGAGTATTTAGCGGTGGAAGATCTTGAGATAAGAAGTTGTAGTTTCCTATGTAGGTATTAATCAAATCAAATCTTTTCTTTATTCAACATAAATGAAAGTACATACTTGTTGAACGTCAAAAAGAACTACCGACAATTCACAAGAAACAAGCCTCCGTCCTGAGAAGAACTGGCAAGAAACTCAGCGGGCATGTCTTTTTTCTTTTTAAATATTAGATTATTTTTTAAATATTAATTTTTACAATGAGTATTATAACGTAACAATTATTGCAACACCAGTAATAACAATTTTACATTTCGCAGGCTTGATTTGTACTATACGATGTAATGGTTTTATTGCGAAAGTAGTCCGTGAACACGTGTCAGGTACGTGTTTGCTTAAAAACTGGTACCTGCCTAAATAATCACATTATACGGTATCAATAATGCGGATTTTGATTCTTTTTACGCGACAAAGAGTGGTCGGTACCTGAAACCTTCATTCCATATCCATGCTCGTCGCGGACCACGGTGACGGTGAGGAGGTCGTCGCCGCCCGGCGACACCGCCCCGCCCAGCATCACCTACAAAATAACAAACATTCGTTATCTTAAACAAGTAGGATATGCAATGAAATTAATATCCTCTGCTTTGTGTTGTGCTAAGAAAAATTTTGGCTGACCGTGCGTCAGTCCACGGATTAATAATAGGTACCATAGGCCTGGTTAATACTGCCGCTGAGACTTTGAACTCTTGCCCTTTTTTTATTGCCTTTGTAGGCAGATGGTAAGTGTTTACCGTCCCTCGTGGACGTCAACAATACCAGGCACAGAGTCAAGCCGCTGCCTACCATTAAGTACTCTCCGCCAGCCTCGTTTGAAGAAGGACATGTCATAGCGCTCGGGAAACACCGTGGCGGGGAGTTCACCGTGCCTTGAGGCACTTTATAATATCTATTACGTAAAGTTTTCTTATAACAACAAACAAAACTACCGCATATTGCTAAATATATTTGAACAATTTTCGATGACTTCATTTTATCACCTTCAGAAAACTAAAAGCAATATTATATTACCAACTATCAACAGTATAAATAAAAACCGGTGTGCATGTGGCATGGTTTTCATAAAATTCAATGTCCTGTCATCTCCGACATCGAACCCTTAAGTTTGCGGAGACAATCGCTATGGCTGGTCCACGAGCAAATCTGATTAGTCGTTAGCCAAACAGACGAGTGATGTACAAACATTTATGAATTAAACTGGCTACTGTAGCTAGTACTAAAACTCAAACTAAACAGGAAACGTAATATATTTTCAAACTCAAAGTGTATGTCGCGATCACAGTATTAAATTTATATTGTTCTAAAATGTCCGTGTTTATTGTGTGTAGCCACTATGGTATTTTGATTGTATTCGCAGGTATCTGATTATAAGTGATTGCTTTCAGTTATGGAAACCGGCAATGGCAGAGATAGTTTACTTCTCTACCACTGATAAAAATTTCAAAATCTAATTGTGGAGCTAATGTAATTCACATTAGGGTTCGTCTAGAAGTCGCAATATGATTATAATCACTAACTCTTCAAGATTTAGATTACTTTTATGTATTACATTTTCTCGTGAATAAACAAATAAATAATAGTTTAAAAAAAACTAACAAAATACGCTTTTATAGAAAATCCAACTAAAAAATAGAAAATAAATTTCAATAAATTTGAATTAAAAATAGTGTAAGAAAATAATATTTTATTGAAAAAAAGCGTGGGGTGCTTTTCAGGATATTATCAAAATACTCATACATTCTACTCATGTCTGTTCATAAAATATTTATAACTACTGATACCATGCAACCCACGCTTTTTTTACAATAAAATATTTTTTTCTTACACAATAAAAAATATTTTTTATTTTTTAGTTGGATTTTCTATAAAAGCGCAAATTGGTTAGTTTTTTTAAACTATAATTTTTTTTTAATTTTTTTTGTTGAATTTAAATTTTTTCTATATTTTTTTTTAATATTGTACTGTGATCGGTTAATAAGTATGCCAAATTTCGAGTTAATCCGACTTTTTAAGGGGGTCAAAATCATGTTCAAAGATTCCGTTACATACTAACACACCTACGTCTGAGGCTAATATAAGCGTATTAAAAAAGAGGATCGGTTGGCAAATAGAACAGACAAAAGTACTAAGCTTTTTCTGAGTGCCTATCTATCTATCTATCTATCTATTATTATACAGTTCCTCAGAAACACAGCAGACAGCTTCCGTGAAGAGCTTGAAAAGAACGGACGCGATTTTATGCACCGCCCTACTTTTGTAATGATGTAATCTCAGTTAATTAAACACAATAATAATATGAAATTATCGTTTCTAACGTATGATCGTCCGTACGTATTTTAAAGTCCGTCTGGTGTAGTGGTAAGTGACATGGTCGCTACACAAGAGGGTCGCGGGTTCGAATCCCGCCAAGGGAAGATATTTGTATGATAAATATAAATGTCTTTTCCAGGGTTATGGATGTATATTAAATATATGTATGTGTATAATAAAAATCTTACATTTATTTCAGTTATCTGGTACCTGTAACACAAGTTCTTTACGAACTTATCAAGGGACCAGTTAACGTGGCGTGATTGTTAGTAAATATTTATATTTATATCGATATGAGAGTTCCTAGTTGATGACAGTTTTGGTTACACACTGGCTAGCGAAGACACCTCAAGTTATAGACAATAACTATCTCTCTGCTATGTCATGTGAGAGCGTGTTGCTTGAAGTTGTCGAAACCGTATATAAGCCCCCATTTATTAGCAACTAAATTCCTTCCCTAGACAAAATGAAAAAAAACTACACCGCTCCCTAGACGGCAGCATAAAGAAATAGACACATAAACAGTTTTAAAGAGATAAAAATCATAAAACCCCGTTGTGTTTGCAGCTCGATGTTTGGATTTGGAGTGGATAAACCAATAAACATAGCCTTTATGTGTTGTTGCCAGTTTGTTTTTTGATATTCATTCAGTATTATAATATGTATCTGCGTTCATGTGCGATTGTGCTGAAGACTTCTTCATTAGTGGTAGGACCTCTTGGGAGTCCGCACGGGTAGGTACCACCACCCCGCCTATTTCCACCGTGAAGCAGTAATGCGTGTTTCGGTTCGAAGGGTGGGGTAGCCGTTGTAACTATACTGAGATCTTAGAACTTATATCTCAAGGTGGGTGGCGCATTTACGTTGTAGATGTCTATGGGCTCCAGTAACCACTTAACACCAGGTGGGCTGTGAGCTCGTCCATCCATGTAAGCAATAAAAAAAAAAAATTGTTGAATCAGAACTAGTCACACAAATTTATGAGATTTTTTTTATTGCCCTTGTAGGCAGACGAGCGCACCGCCCACCTGATGGTGAGTGGTTACCGTCGCCCATGGACTTCAGCAATGCCAGGGGCAGAGCCAAGCCGCTGCCTACCGTTTCTGTGCAACTTTGGATCTTTGCCAATATTGAGATAACGTAACAGAATTTATCAATAGCCGTTCAGACAACCCCCCGAATTCGCTACCCGTCCTGGTTAAGCCTCATGTTTCTGCGCCAACACAATAAAAATAATCAATTTAATTCCGAGCTTCCATCCCAAAAAGTCAATGAACGTTAATTATTTATGCAATTATTGTATATATTTACTCTTTGACACAAATTCAACAAAGACAGCAAAGTCTAAGTCAACAAAGAAAAGTGATGGCTTTAACTCTAGCTCAAAAGAAAACAAGTGATAAATGTTTCCGATTCCACAATACCATAAACATGTTTTCGGCAGGTTCTACTGGAAGGAGGGCGTCTTGTGAGCCCGCAAGGGTAGGTGCCACCCTGTCTATTTCTGCCGTGAACAATTAATACGCTTCAGCCCCCTCGTAGGCCCCTCAGGCCGACTCACGGCGTTCGATGATGACGAAAAAGCAGAGCTGCTGGCCGATACATTGCAAACCCAGTGTACGCCCAGCACTCAATCCGTGGACCCTGTTCATGTAGAATTAGTAGACAGTGAGGTAGAACGCAGAGCCTCCTTGCCACCCTCGGATGCGTTACCACCCGTCACCCCGATGGAAGTTAAAGACTTGATCAAAGACCTACGTCCTCGCAAGGCTCCCGGTTCCGACGGNGCAACGATGCAACGCAATAACTGCAACACGGTCTTCTTTAAGCGTCCACTCCATATTTAAAAATGAGTAAAATTCTAAAAGTATACATTTTTATTTTCATGAACAATTCGAAATTCGAATTCAATAAACTTTTTTGTGGCCAGCATTCTAAAAGAAAAGTTTTTACTGTGTGACAATACTTATGACCTGACTAGTTATATCCGTTATCTGGTACCTGTAACACAAGTTCTTTACGATCTTATCACGAGACCAGTTAACGTGGCGTGATTGTTAGTAAATATTTATATTTATATCGATATGAGAGTTCCTAGTTGATGACAATTTTGGTTACACACTGGCTAGCGAAGACACCTCAAGTTATAGACAACTATCTCTCTGCTATGTCATGTGGGAGCGTGTTGCTTGAAGTTGTCGAAACCGTATATAAACCCCTATTTATTAGCAACTAAATTCCTTCCCTAGACAAAATGAAAAAAAACTACACCGCTCCCTAGACGGCAGCATAAAGAAATAGACACATAAACAGTTTTAAAGAGATAAAAATCATAAAACCCCGTTGTGTTTGCAGCTCGATGTTTGGATTTGGAGTGGATAAACCAATAAACATTGCCTTTATGTGTTGTTGCCAGTTTGTTTTTTGATATTCATTCAGTATTATAATATGTATCTGCGTTCATGTGCGATTGTGCTGAAGACTTCTTCATTAGTGGTAGGACCTCTTAGGAGTCCGCACGGGTAGGTACCACCATCCCGCCTATTTCCGCCGTGAAGCAGTAATGCGTGTTTCGGTTCGAAGGGTGGGGTAGCCGTTGTAACTATACTGAGATCTTAGAACTTATATCTCGAGGTGGGTGGCGCATTTACGTTGTAGATGTCTATGGGCTCCAGTAACCACTTAACACCAGGTGGGCTGTGAGCTCGTCCATCCCTCTAAGCAATAAAAAAAAAAGTTGTATCAGAACTAGTCACACAAAATTTATGAGATTTTTTTTTATTGCCCTTGTAGGCAGACGAGCGCATGGCCCACCTGATGGTGAGTGGTTACCGTCGCCCATGGACATCAGCAATGCGAGGGGCAGAGCCAAGCCGCTGCCTACCGTTTCTGTGCAACTTTGGATCTTTGCCGATATTGAGATAACGTAACAGAATTTATCAATAGCCGTTCCGACAAGCCCAAGAATTCGCTACCCGTCCTGGTTAAGCCTCATGTTTCTGCACCAACAAAATAAAAATAATCGACTTAATTCCGAGCTTCCATCGCAAAAAGTCAATGAACATTAATTATTTTTGCATTTATTGTATGTACCCTTTAACCGCAAATTCATAGAGTCTAAGTCAACAAAGAAAAGTGATGGCTTTAACTCTAGCTCAAAAGAAAACAAGTGATAAATGTTTCCGATTCCACAATATCATAAACATGTTT